AAACACTGAGCTGTTGTATATCCCTGGAGATGTATCGCCATGTCACAATTTTGTCATCTCCCTTAAGAACTACTGGGTCACACCATCTGACACCACAGGAAACCTTGAAGTAGTTTTGGACAACCAACTGACCTTCTCTCCTCATATTCCTAACTTGATTCAGTCACGCAGGTTTCTCATTTATATCACGAAGATCCGGCCAGTTCTATCTACAGAGGTCATTCAAGAGCTTGTTGAGTCCTTTATTATCTTGATATTAGTCTACTTCAGTCAACACAAGTTTATACTACTTGTATTTGTACTCAAAACAGCAGAATTCAAATATGTACTTTTGTTACCACCTCTTAGTTATATGCACTTAACACATGTATTATATTAACACTTGCTTAAGAAAATACTATTTACAGGTACAGGCTATGGGCTATCCACAAGTGGCCTAGCCACAGCTTGTAAACTCACTTTGGTTTCGTGGAAGAGATGAGCTCCGGTAAGGGCTGGGTTAATCCGTGTGGGAAAAGCTAATGACACAAAATAACCATCACACCAGGATAACGTCATCTTTGTTAACTTTTTTAGATTATCTTAATAATTATTCATGGCTTAGCATTAATGGGAAATCAACAATCAACCATTATTGGGTCCCTGGAGGACTAGTGGTTAGGCCACAGCGCTCTCACTGCTGTGGCCTGGGTTTGATTCCTGGCCAAGGAACCAACCCAAGCCACTGGGGTTGTGTGCAACAGCGCGATCTCAGTGCTGGTCCCAAGCCCAGATAAAACTGAGGAGGGTTGCGTCAGGAGGGGCATCCGGCTTAAAAACTGTGCCAATTCAAATACGTGGACCAGTGATCCGCTGTGGTGACCCCTAACAGGAGCAGCCGAAAGAGGAACAACAACAACAAACCATTATTGTTCATGCTTCATACATTTCATTAAATTTTGGTAATAAACTAATGAATCTGTGAGCTTTTAGAAAAAGAAGGCACTTACTTTTCACAATGAGTTTAGTGCCTCCACCAAAAGTGAACCACAGTGATACATTTCTATGAAGCCTTCGTATAACAACCTCTGTCACACTATAGTGAACACACCCACCCACACACACACACACACACACACAGAGTTCATATATAATTGTGGTTATATTTACAGAACACAACAGTATGATTAAAGATTTCTTCAGTAGTTAGTTTTCTTTGTCACTCTGGTGTTTAAACACAGTGATGTTTCAGTAAAAACGTGTGACTCTGGAGCACAGTGTACTGTACACACTGCAGAAGACTGGAGGAGAAATAACACCAAATGATGGATTAGTGATGAGATTCATCTCTACAGTCAGAAACACAATATACATGATACATAAAGATAGTAAAGAATAACATGATAATGCTGAATCTGAATCCTGATGGATTTAAAGTGAAAGACTGAACTCCTGTCATTTCTCTACTACATTCATGCACTTGCAAACTATTCAGATTGTCCAAGAAATCTCTCAGATCTGTGAGAATTACAGGAAGATTGGAGGAATGTGGTAAAGGTGTTTCCATACTTAGAGGACACTTTGCATTGGCAGCACATGCTTCAGTGCTCTGGGAGTGTTTATAGCGCTGTGACTTTAACACTTCATGACTGAGAGCTGCTGCTACAGCAACTTCACCCACAGCTACCATGACTTTGATCCCCGTCTTCATCTGGACACTGATCCTCTGGACTCAAGGTCAG